GGGAAAGGTCGCGGTAAACCACGTGACTCATCCTCGGCTCTGGTCGGAAGAAGGTGCCCTAAGCTATCTGGCCGATAGTAGGCTGGGAGCATTCAATTTCAAAAGTCTGCCTTTTTGTCACATTTTCACGTAGTATGTTGAATCAACCCTATCCTATCCCATACCGATAGTCATGGAGCAAAAATTCAATGCCGCTTTGCCGTACGAACGCCGTGAAAAACTACGTGCCTCCCGCCGCCGGCAGTGGTGTCAGCCTATTTTTGAAATTTCCGAGCGCTCGCGAACACTTCCGACTTCTTCCGACCAGAGCCGAGGATGAGTCACATGGTTTACCGCGACCTTTCCCTACCCTGTGCGCCCACGTGACCTACCCTGTGCGCAAAGGATCATGGGAATGTGCAACTCGTGAATAGAGCTTGGAAAGTACAAATAACAGGACGGTTTTTAAAAAGTCATGTTTCTGATATCCGTTTATGGCAATTATTTACCTTTTTTTCTTTTAATTCCAGCAAAAAAGTTTAACCTTTCTACCGTTACCATGGCGTTGTATTTTAAAGGGTCAATCTTGTCCAATGGCAGCGCCGAATGGCTAACATTTCTGACCAATGAGAGCTCAGGGCGTGGGTTTTGAGCATTTGAAAAGCGCTGCACACAGACAAGCACACAGTTGCAAGTTTGCCTGCTTTTGAGATTGTTGGGCCGCCCGTCTTGCGAAATTTTACGTGCAACTACTTCGTTTTTCTCGAGGAACATCACCGAAGAGTTTACCGAAGCCTTCCATCGCTTCTCAGTTCCCGTTTGTTAATTTTTTTTCCCGAGAAAATGGCCTTGAGAACCCGCTCCGCTTCTGCTGCCACGGTAAGCTCTTTGTCTTGATAAAGTTTAACGTTTTGGCGTGGTTTGCTGAAATTATTGACCATTATTGTCGCGTTGTCTTAACGATATTCATTATAATTTGTACGTACGTCTATTTACTCTCCAATATGAAATATCCTTTTATTGCAAAGGACATCTTAAATGGTCAAAATCGCCCTACTATGGCAAACGGCGTCACAGACAAGGAAGTTAGAATTTTAAAATTTAAATGTTTACCAAGCAGAAAAAATGTCGTCTTCACAATTCACAACTCTTTTCATACCACCTTTTACTCTACCCACGTATCGTGTAAAATATTCTAACATTTTCCTTATTTTCCTCATTAATTTTCAGAGCCAGAATGAGAATATTCTGGCAGGCAAAGCCCTCATGGCCAAGAACAAGATGGCGACCGGCAGACCACGCGCTGCACTTGCTAGCATTGGCAACAAGGAGGCCAATATCGGAAAGGTGAGTTTATTTAATGTCTGCAGTAGAGATCCTGCAATCTTCCAGCGTACAAGATTTTTAAACTTACATTTGTGCTTTTTAGTCAATAGAAAATCAGTTTTCCGTGAATCTGAATAATTGTACGAAGATTTTGTGCTATAAATTATTTGTTTTAGCATTTGTTTAATGGGAAGTCATGACAAAATTTGACACATTGTAGGTTGCTGCCAAGGATGTGATGAAAAAGAAGACCCTGCCCAAGTCCCGTGGAACCACAGCACTGCCAGAGGCAGTCAAGGAGAATGTCACCGCGAAGAAACAACCAACCAAGGAGGTTTGTGTGGATAGTCGTGGATGATTCGAAAAATTTGTCCCACTGAAAAATTACTGTAAAATCGCTACAAAGCAGTTTTTCGTGGAACTTGCACATCCACAGTTTTCACGGTCACTTCTGTATCACAAACTTATCATTACCATGAAAGATAACTAACTTTCTTTTTGCTGCATCTGCAATACCACAAACGTATAGTTCCATGAACATGTCCATGCTTGAAGCAGGTAGCCTGGGTACCATCCCCAGTAGTGTATTCGCAAACTCTATAACTGGGTCTGGACTTGAACACATATAAAACGATTGGTGATGACGTCACGTAATGAGCTAGCCCGAGCAGCGGGGCTTCATTTGATTGGCTGAGCCTCAGAGGCGACGGCCAATGGCGCGCCTGCATTATTCAAGTGATGTTTGTTGTTTTGTAAACACAGATCTTCGCGCGAGTGTTCCTTTTCTCGGTGCGTTTTTTTTACTGGTAGGACGCCCAAAACATCACGAACGAAATTATTCAATGCATCTTTTTGCTCATTTTTGAGCGACGATATTCCGTCTAAATCGTCCAAAACGGACGTGATTGCAAGGTCAACATCAACCTCCGTGAGCTGAGCGGCTTGTGCGTTAGCCATGTTGATGATTTATCACGGAAAGACTGACTACGGCTATATCATGTGCGCTTTAGCGTTCGGTTCGCCGTCGGACATGTTGATGATAAGGCGTTCGGACGTTCGAACGGACGCTAACGTCGCCGTTCGGATATCCGAACAGCCCTTACCTAATATGTACACACCCAAAAAAGGGCTTAGACGAGTAGGACCAATCAGCGCGCTCGTTCAAAATCTGAACGAATATTTAGACTCTACATATGTGTTCAAGTCCAGACCCAGTTATAGAGTTTGCGAATATACTACTGGGGATGGTACCCAGGCTATGAAGCAGGCTGGTCAAGATTGAAAGAATATTGCATAGTCATGCAGCTCAAGACAAAATATCCTAGTGTATACTTGCCCTATAGATTTTTCAAAATTTCTAGTACATTTGATAACCAGCACTCTAATTTGTTCAAGACTGTTTTTTTTCTTTCCAGAAAACCCTTTCTCCGGCGCCCATGGAAGTGGACCCGATGGACATGACGGAGATGAAGAAGGCGTTCTCGGATTCTCTGATGGCGAAAGTGGAGGACATCGACAGCGAGGACAAGGAGAACCCCCAGCTCTGCACGGAGTTCGTCAACGACATCTACGAATACCTCAGACATGTTGAGGTGAGCTGCGGACTATTGCACCATTTTTTTGTTCATATGGTGCCACATAATGCAGCAGAGAATGGTTAAAAAGTCCTTCCCACACTGTTGTATGGTTCTCTTACATCTCATTTCTTCGGGTCATTCTACAGTTGGACAAGTACTAACGGCAAGAGGCCAACTTGTTTAGTGACTTTACTTGTTAATTCTAGGAAAACAATTTTCTGTCTCCCGACCAACCCTAGAAAAAACTGCCTGTCCTTAGCCTTTTGTGTGGAACCCTGCAAGGGATATAAATTTTTCCAGCTGATCAACCTTTTGATCTGACATCTGCTGACATTGGAAAGATTTGTCCTCACGCAAGTCGTATTGCTAGAGATTGTCTAGAAGAAAAAAAGGTAATCCCTACCTTCCACCCTAGTTGTTTTCAGGATTGAAACCGGAACCACATTTTTCCTAGACCTTAGTTGTAAGCACTGAGAGCAGAGTTTAAACCAGCAACCTCCTGAATGCCGACTGATGTAGTCTTCCTTTCCCTCCACCACAGCGTAAGTACAAGGTGAACCCCAACTACCTTGACGGTCAGGTGATCAATGCCAGGATGCGGGGGATCCTGATTGACTGGCTGATCCAGGTGCACCTGCGCTTCCACCTGCTGCAGGAGACCCTCTTCCTCACAGTGGACATCATAGACAGATTCCTTCAGGTAAATGTAGGTCACAGAACAAGATGTTTTGAACTATCTTTGTAGTGTCTGTAGCAGTAGTTTTGTATCTAGTATTCCAGTTGGTTTTTCTGACCAGAATATTCTACTGTTGCCCCCTTAAAACAACCACCAGGTTTATTTTGGGATTACTTGTTACTTGTTACCCCTATTTCAATATTGATAACCTCTACTGTACTCAATGCCAATTGTGTTCCAGATAGGCAACTCAGCATAGGAAGTCAGATAGGTAACTGGGATACCACATCTGGATTTGGAGAGTTGCCCAGTGTCCAATCTTACATGATGTAGTTACTACTGACTTTGATCGAGATCCGATTTGATGACAATATTGGCTTCGATGACAATGGAAACAGTATTAGATGTGTACTACTTATACGTGATGAAATGTTGTGAAATTACACTAGAAATTGCTAGTATAGGAACTTATTTCTAGCAATTTCTAGTAACGTTTTCATTGCTCAGACTAAATACACCAAACCTCTCGTATCTTCCCCAGTCTGTCAGTCAGTCTAAAGGACAAGATGACAAAAAGGTACAAACAAAAAAGCTGAACTAACTCATCCTGCTTGTAGTTTGCATCTAGCTTGTGCAAAAATTTCCTTGCTGCTTTTTGTCTTGTTGCTGACACTTGATGCTTTTGAGAGGGTTGTTTTTAGTCTTTGCAGTTGCATTGACATTTTTGTAGTGTAGTTGCTTTGTTATTGCTGTGACACTTTTGTGATACTGGCCATTTCACAGACCCTGTTGCCTGTCTCCTGGGAGAATGGGATATTATGGGTAAAGAAATGCACTGCTTGGTAATGGTAGAAATAACCCATCTGCAGTCAGCATTTTGCAAAGTCATTATTAGCATTGCAGTAGAAAGGTTAGACAACCTGCAATTTTCATGCAGAAAAAGATCAGGGCACTGGGATCTGTGAATGAGACATAGGTATAGTCAAGAGTACCCCTGCCATCAGCCAAGTTCAAAGTAAATGTCTGTTCAACACAGGTCCAGTCCGTATCCAGAAGTAAGCTGCAGCTGGTCGGGGTGACGGCCATGCTGATCGCGTCCAAGTACGAGGAGATGTACGCGCCCGAGGTGGCGGACTTTGTCTACATCACGGACAACGCCTACACCAAGTCACAGATCCGCAGTATGGAGATCCTCATCCTCAAGAACCTGAACTTCAACCTGGGCAAGCCCCTCCCACTGCACTTCCTCAGGAGAAACTCAAAGGCTGGACAGGTGAGCATTGTAATGCTTAGGTGCCTAAACATGACATGGGATACAGGTACAGTTATCTGTGGCTGATTTGACAAAATGAAACTTATTTATTATGACATTTGTTTGGACTTGTGCAGAGGGCCTGCTTTGAAGTCAAGACACTGCTGATTTCAATTTCTAAATATTGATAAATTTCTATCTTGGACTGATTAAGGTAAACAGCAACCTGTAGTTAGAACCGTTTTTCTCAAACAGCAAAATTTTGCTACTGTAAACAAGAGATATACAGTACATGAAATATAATGCTACAGTTGTACATTTATGTGTACAGTCAGGACGATGTTTAAGAGCTTTTTCCATAATGAAATTTTCTACCTCTTGCTTTACCTGCCAGGTTGATGCCCAGAAGCACACCTTGGCTAAGTATCTGATGGAGATGTCCCTGGTGGACTATGACATGGTGCAGTACAACCCCTCTCAGATCGCTGCTGCCGCCCTGTGTCTGTCAGCCAAGACCCTCGACCAATCAGAATGGGTAAGACATTTCAGGGTAAACTTTTTAACCAACCACGGTAAAACTTAGCTACATAGACTTTACAAATCTTAGTTCCAACACAAGAGAAGAAATTCAGCATTAATTCTCAGTTGATATTGTCAACCTTCCTGCAATTTTTTTATTCACTCGTGGCATCATATTAGATCATACACCTGACAAGATAAACTGAAAATTATGGTGAGTTTTTCTTGTGTTGGAACTAAACTCTCAGCCATGGGTTCTACCAACTGATGAGCTTTCATTTGAATTGTAAAACTTAGTCCAACTTCAATCAGAATTCTTGGCTCACCTTTTGGTGTAAAAAGGGCAGTAGTGCTACAGTGTCCCTGTCTATGGCCCTTGGGCCACATAGATGTACAACCAGCTAGCTAGTCTGATAAACATGGCTACTTCTTGCAGATGCAAATCCTTAACCACTGCTGTTACTACAGTATGCTCTTCCTGTTCTATTCTCAATTCCATAGTTTGTAACAAGTATGTTTTGTCCCCGTAGACACCAACCCTGGAGTACTACAGCACATACAGCGAGGAAGACTTGCTGCCCATCATGAGACATATGGCCAAGAACATCTCCAAGTCTTCTACAAGCAAACTGCAGGTAAGGACTTGGTTTCCAAGACATCTTTCACTCCGTTTGAATGTTGTGTGCCTGGGTAGACTTGTTGTGTTGCAAAAAGATGTGATATGACAAGTTGGATGTATGGAAATTGTGTATCCTGTTGCATGCTGGGAGACTGTTGCACTATGGGTAGTACTGTATCCATGCTGTCATGATTTCTTGTGCTACCCATCATGGCATGCAATCTCCCAGCATGCAATGGGATTGTTGAAAAGGGCTATGGGTTGTCTCCATTTTTGGAATGTCTTACTGTCCAGTCTTAATACAAGTTATAACCATAAAAAAAATCCAAGCATACAATGTTCAAAATTTTCCTTGCGTGTTTGTGTTTCTGTTGACTGACCCAATTTTGTTGTTCCTTTTACCTAGGCGGTGAGAAACAAGTACACAAGCTCCAAGTTCCTGAAGATCGCTACCATCCCAGAGCTCAAGTCAGACTACATCCAAGAACTGGCTGAAAAATCATCATAGCTTCCAGTAGCTTTGAGCAAAGTAAAACAAATGTACAGATTTTAAACCCCTAGCATTTTGCATAGTCCTGTGTTGCTTATTTCATTTACTTGGTTTTAGGCATTGCGACTTTCAAGATTTATAAAACACTGGCTGTTGCCTACTCGATCAAGGAATAGACTTTTAGTGACCGCTTTTTGTTTTAACTGTAGGCGCGTGAAAATGTTAGATGTTACTTGTTAGCAGTCTCAAGAAATCATTGTGAAAAATAAAAGAAAATAACCTTGTAAGACAATGTGAAAAATAAGGGTTTTGGATAGCAAGGCAAAAATTGTATTTTGTTGGCGAGGAACAGATTGTACATAGCCGCCCAAATAGCAGCAGCGTTTAGGTCAGCTCATATGTATCAGTGGTCAGCTCATATGTATCAGTGCAATCTTCTGTAAGTTGCCGCCATGTTGTAAAGTATTGTTGTAGAATGTGTAAACAACACTTGTGTATACTGCTTGTAGTCCAAGAATTTGATTGTAATGTACTATTCAGTTTGGCCTTCACAATAAACATATGAAAAATCAGGTCTTGTTTGTGAATGATTTCTGTAATACCATGTTGGTCACAAATAGATGAATCTCCAAGCAGATGAATGGCTCAGTGGTGTTTTTTTGTAACACTGAACATGTGTTTATAGTGAACTGTTTGAACTCTGCTGGAGGGTAGCTCCAAGAAACAAGACCAACAAAATAAGTGCTGACTTTTTCATCTGCTTCAGAATAGTCTGCTTGATAATAACATCCTGTACAGAGAATGAGATACCAGTAGGTCCAGTCAAGGTATCATAATAGAGACTATTAACTGACTTAGAATTGTATGGCTGTGGAAGTAAGCTCAACAAAGTCTTATTGATGATTCAGACTCCTTTGCTGGTTGAATGAATAGAAATCATTCTAAAATGAATGTAACCAGGCCAAGGGGAGTTAGCTGGTCATAAGACAATACAGCTCATATGACGCAGCCCTGCAGTTAACAGGACTCAAGTCATTGAAGGACAGAAGAGAGGACCTATGTCTTAAATTTGCTACAAAACTGAACCCTGATCTCCTACCTCCTAAGGTGGGTGAACTCTAAGGAGGACACACAAGGAACTCTGAAAAGCTAAAAACTACTAAGTACAGAACCAACAGATATAAGAACTCTCCAATACCATACCTGGTTTGCATATTGAACAATTCCTCCAAATAATGTGTATCATATTTCTAGGGTGGTAAGTCTGTCCTCTAGTCTCATTTACTTTGTATATTTTTGTGTTAGTACTTAATATATGTTTGTAATTGTTAGTTTTAATGTTAAAATTGTAACTGTTATTTTTAAGTATGTCAATGTATAATGATATGGATTTTATTGATTAACTAGTAATTTTAGTGTGTTATGCCAGATATGTCAAAAATCAAAATTGTACAGCAAGACACAATTTAGCTGATGGCTACAAGGTTTTGTTTTTACAAATAAACCATTTGATTGATAGAATGTCAATTGCACCCTCTATGGCCAACTAACTAACCTTGGCCTGGCTACAACCTTCTCAGGCTAATTTCTATTTATTCAGCCTGCAAAGGAGTTTAGTGGAGACTAATGACAATAGTCTTCATGACATGTACCATAAATCTAACACAATAACTGGAAAAATAATAGACCATTCCATTCTATAATCCCCAACAAAAATTGTCTGTGATACAAGACTTAAAAACCAAATGTACATCATTGAACTTAATACTAAATTTGATTTAATTCTGCAATAATTCTCAAATTATTTCCAACACAAAGGGAAAACCATCATGGTGTCTTCACATATACATACTCTTCATTTCAAAACTGGGACTTAACCAAATCATCATCATCAGGTCGGGCGTTGAAAAACCAAATACTTGACTGAAAAGCACCCATCTTTGTGAAGGAATAAGCAATAGACTGTTTTCTATGATGTTACTTTATGTAGCTGTAGCCTCAATAAGCAGTGCATCAAAAGTCCTAATTTCCCTTGGTGTTGGAAATTAATTCTGCTACAGAATAAATTCTACCAACACAAATGAACGTTAAAGCTTATTATCATATAGCCGGGTGACGTTGACCAATCAGAAGGCTCCATTCCACATTCCTTATGATGCCGTAATGTCACAAATAGAGTCAAAATCGGGTATTTATTCATCCCAATCCAAACATTAAACAAACCCAATAATCACCCGCATATGACCTCAGGTTACCCAATAGAACATGGCTCTAGTTCTAAAAAATCTAAAAATAACTTAAGTTGTGTTCCAATGACCTGGGGTGACTTCCATAAGAACACCTGTTCCCTGCCTGTGACCCAGATAGAAGACATAGAACGTGAACTCTACCCAGTGACCTCAGGTGACTCCAGATGGAACTATGTTCTATTCAGCATGTGCAACGGGTAAATTGTACATTGTGTCACTTACTGCATCAGTTTGGATAGGCTATCGTGTAAGCTATATGATAATAGCGTTAATGGCCCGCCCTTTCTCGGTGAATATGGTGTGATAAAGCCTTGTCAGTTGCTATAACCACCTCATAAAGCCACCTCGTTCGCTGCGCTCACTTGGTGGCTTTATTCGGTGGTTATAGCAACTGACAAGGCTTTATCACACCATATTCACCTCGGGGCGGGTCATTAACCCTTAATCCATACCTTACTACATGTAGTATGCAAACATGAACTAGCTGCCTAGTTCCACTTACGTAGTGGACAGCACACAACATACCCTGGTGGTCTTCTTGATTCAAACTCAGATTCAGACTTGCAAGGAGCTATGAGATTTAATATTACCAAATTCATACCTTCTGACTCCTTACAAGTAAGGAAGTTTATTGTGTATGTAAACAACTTGGTTTCACTAAAGTCAAATATCTTGGCAACCAAATGGCATGGCGATACCAATATACATAAAATGTACATACATTATATCATACAACACTACTTACAACTTGTGTCAGATTGTAGAAGTTGTGGCACACAAAACTTAGATGACTATAATATTGATGAATGTAAGAAATTTAGACAAACAAGATAAGGCCACACCAATTTAATTTGTCGGTTCTCGGATTTTTTCAGAAAAAATATGAAGCGACAGGGCGAAAAAAAATAAAATAAAAACAGGTCTAGGCATCCTATTATAGGCTTAAATGCTACAAAATGAGCCATGAAGTCAACACAAAAGGCTGGGTTAAAATTTAAACATTGAATTTTGAACTTTTAATCAAACCACTGCAATGATAGATGGGAAAACTGTAACAACTAGGAAGAAAAGGACTTTCCTCAACTGTTGGGGGGCAAAATATGAGCATTTTTCAGTTGATTCAGGACCAGAATAATTTTTTTTTTTTTGCAAATCAGAAAAAAATGAAGAGGCGAATCCGAGTACCAACAAATTAAATTGGTGTGGCCTAAGAGCCATGAGTGCCTTCTCAGTCTGTAACTAAAACAATCATGATAATTGTCCATAACCCGTCAAAACGTCACAAATAGCTGTACATGTATTTTGCTTTTCCAAAACTGTTAACCCTCCCCCTACCATGATCCAGGTTACAGCTTTCACAGCTAAAACAGCAAAAAGAAAAAAATAATGAAAAACCAAAAAAGACCGAAGCTCAATTTCTGTTTTGAATGTACAAGATTGATAGGAACAGCTATTTGTACAAATATATCTGCACAAGTTATCATTGATCGTACATTGTAGGTCTCGTTGTGTCATACACTATTTGCAATCTGTTTGTGTACTTTGGCTGTTGCTGCACCATCCAGAATTCTTTGCCGAAGAAAAACTGCGATGTATCCAGCGACAAACACACCGAACCAGACCCCCTCAAACGTCCAGAAGGCTCTTTCCTCAGCTCTCATGTTGTGGCAACTGAAACATAAGTGCAATGGAAAACAGGACAAATTGGCAATGAATAGTGGCATCCATGACTTAGTGGCTAGGATAGCAGACAACTAACTAATGGCATTTCTAGCTAAATACTGCATATGATGGCATTATATTGTACATAAGGATAAATACTAAAGACTGAACAGACATTAGTTCCTCCAATGATTGTAAAAGTTCATACCTATCCCATACTAGCCACCCACTCCTGCATTAGTAAGGTTAGCCTTATTAAAGTGTAGTTATGTACTAGTAGATGCCATACTTAATACCCAGTACAATATTTTTTGTTGTGCAATTAAGTTATTATCCTTGGGAAAGGCACTTTACATCACTTAGGCCATGTTGATTTGATTATATGGATGACATCCACGCGCGCATGAATTTTCGGCCGTTTCCAA